TGCTGGTTTCAACAGTGGTGTTGAGACGCCCAGAAAGCAATGACAAACTACTGGACGTAAATTTGCCTAGAAAAACCACAACAGTAAAAAATTGCTGGGTTTGATTCTGCACCGTCCTGTAAAGGATACGCAGCTAACGTGAATATCATCAACAGATTAAGTGATGCGAGAGAATCGACCCGGTGGCGCCGGGTATTATCCTAACAAGCTGGTCGACAACTGAGAGCATCGCTAAGAGCACTAACCCCGTAGCTCAAGCCAGGGTTTCAACTGTGAATGGAGCCACCCAGTCCATAAATGAATTGGCGACCTCCAGAGCCTGTAAATAACTGCCAGCCAACTATCTGATGAATGGATGGGCATGGGCACTGACTGTCAAACATCTGATGAATGGATAGGTATGGGCACTGACTGTCAAACATCTGATGAATGGATGAACATGGACACTGACTGTCAAACATCTGATGAATGGATGGGTATGGGCATGGGCACTGACTGTCAAACATCTGATGAATGGATGGGTACGGGCACTGACTGTCAAACATCTGATGAATGGATGAACATGGACACTGACTGTCAAACATCTGATGAATGGATGAACATGGACACTGACTGTCAAACATCTGATGAATGGATGGGTATGGGCATGGGCACTGACTGTCAAACATCTGATGAATGGATGGGTACGGGCACTGACTGTCAAACATCTGATGAATGGATGAACATGGACACTGACTGTCAAACATCTGATGAATGGATGGGTATGGGCACTGACTGTCAAACATCTGATGAATGGATAGGTATGGGCACTGACTGTCAAACATCTGATGAATGGATGGAAATGGGCACTGACTGTCAAACATCTGATGAATGGATGGACATGGGCACTGACTGTCAAACATCTGATGAATGGATGGGTATGGGCACTGACTGTCAAACATCTGATGAATGGATGGGTACGGGCACTGACTGTCAAACATCTGATGAATGGATGGGCATGGCACTGAATGTCAAACATCTGATGAATGGATGGGTATGGGCACTGACTGTCAAACATCTGATGAATGGATAGGTATGGGCACTGACTGTCAAACCTGGTTGATTTAAAAACCATTTGGGCATTCTCCTCCGTCTCTTACCGCTCTCTTGGCTGAACCATCTGTATACACTCGAATCCAGCTCAGGTGTGGATAAATTCTGTAGATCATCCCTTTTGTAACTGACATCTTATAAGTGCTGCTCATTGATGATTTGGAGGAGATCCCTGTTACATTAGGTCTGACTGTTGGGAGGTTACCCCTAAGCCAAAGGAAAAAGGGGGGAGGGAGGGGTATGGTTGTAAAGTTTCAGTGGAACATTTGGAAGTATGGGAGGGAATTTTAGGTCAGCTTGACATTTGCCTTCTTAACGAAACATATTCACTTTAGTCTAGCCCTCTGGGGATTCTGCAGTCGGCTGTGCATGGATAGTTATTTCAAATGGTGGTATTTGGAGAGCTGGGTGAGGAGTTTTGTGTCTCTTCTGTCTTCTAGAGCATTGAGGCCAGACTGGAGTAGATGTTATCACGAAAAGATATCAACCAAATGAAAAGTGGAAAAGTCAGCTTCACGTTGCGGTTAACAGGCCTACATCAGCATTACAGGAATAGACAATGTTACATTTACGAACTAAATACACAAAATAAATTAATATAAGTATCTCGGAGAGAAATCCACATGTTTATCCGGCCAGCTGAAGCCTTGACATGCGGGGAATAGAAGTTGTTTGGTAAATACCGCTACCATTTGTAGAGACTTTGTGTTGAGTACCGGCCATTTCTTTTTGAAGGCGGCGGCCCTGCCAATGGTATACTATTAATCTGGACCCATAAGTGCATAAATAAACCGTTTCTTCTGTTAAACACATCCACACATCTCTCCCAAACATTTTAAAGATTGACAGTCACCAATTAGTCAATTCAGTCTTCTCTAAATTCGTTATTTCTGACAACACATGAATTTACTGTATTGTTCCGGTATGAAGTGGAACGAATCGTATTTTTTAACACTATTGTGTTATGTTGCCAGCCGGAAGCCAGCAGCAGACGTGTATAAACATTGTCCCGCCCGGAGAGTCCTGCAGATGTTTGTGTCCACTTAAAGGTATTGATTGCCGCTTGTAGAGGAGGAGAGGAGATAGGAGGCAAGACGTTGAAGATTGACGTGACCCTGGCTGGGTGTTGCAACACATTTGAGCAGAGCTGTCCTTTATGACCTCGTAGTTTGAAGTGACAAGTTTGAACAGTGTCTGGTGTCCTCTCAAAATTGTTCACTAACATAAGGCCCTAATTAATAATAATTACGGTCCCAGATTATCGAGGCCGAAAATATACCCTAACAGGGCTTAGTCACATGTAAATTGCGGACCTCTTTCGGACGACTATACGGCCACCGCCGAGTGTATCTCCTGCGCGGCTACGCGCGGCACGGAGCGGGGATCTGGGACTCAAGAGCAAATAAAATGAAGTATGTAGGAAGCTGAAGGAAATGCAGTAGCTGCTGCTTGTGAGTCCAAGCCATATAGTTTATCCCTCTTTCGCGCCGCGAGTAGCGGTGCGGAAGATACTCTCGGTGGTGACTAACTCGGCGGAAGCTTTTCCACAGTATGCTGTGTAGTCGCCCGACCAATAGAGGTCCTCAATTTACATGTGACTGAGGCCCTGTTAGGGTTTATTTCTGCCTCGATAATTTGGGATCGTTATTCGGAGGATAAATTCTAGATCACAGCCTAAAACAAGTGCAAGAATTTAAATACTTGGGAAGTATCTTTACATCCAATGGTAAAATAGAGAGATCGAAGCAAGAATCCAACAAGCCAACAATGTCGCATACCAGCTTGCCCCAATTTTAAAACACCCTGCTGTGCCAGCTGAGATAAAAAGACAAATTATAAATACAATCTTTATACCGACATTAGGTTATCAATGTCAGACTTGGACATTAACAAAAGAACACGAGAGAAGACTAACCACCTGTGAAATGAGATATTTGAGAATGGCTGCGAATAAAACCAGAAGAGATCGAGTGAGAAACGATGTGATTACAAGAACTATTGGAACCATACCCATCATTAAATTTATTGAGAAGCAAAGAATGAAATGGTTTGGTCACCTAATGAGAATGGAACCAACGATGCCAGCATCAAGAGCATACAACATGAAAATCGAAACACCAAGAGGCAGGGGAAGACCAAGAAGAAGATGGATTGAAGGAGTCACGGACAACTTGAGACTTCATAACATCACGGCTTATGAAGCGACTGAGCGCGCCCTGGCTCGGTTGCCGATCATCTGATAGACTGCGACGCCTAGCGGCACTAGCAGATTTTGACAAAAGAAAGAAGAGAAGAAAGATTCGGAGGATAGCCAATAATAATATATTTACAATCATATAATGTCGTTACATTTTCACAAAGAATGCAACAATACTAGCTCCTGAAACTGGCAAAAATATAACAAAATGACCCTTCATTCAGGCCACTATGTCGATTGTTATATGATGCAATTTATATTTTGAGGGAACTAAGTGATCAGCAACAAACAAAATGTATTAAAATGAAATATACAGAGTAGCTTCGAGTGATCATCTGTGTTTTTTCCGCAGGGTTCTTATGGAAGTCAGAGAAATAGTAATATTGTATCTAATCTAGTATCAGACATGTAATAAGTGAGTTCATGTGTGGAAGTCAGAGAAATAGTAATATTGTATCTAATCTAGTACTAGACATGTAATAAGTGAGTTCATGTGTGGAAGTCAGAGAAATAGTAATATTGTATCTAATCTAGTACTAGACATGAAATAAGTGAGTTCATGTGTGGAAGTCAGAGAAATAGTAATATTGTATCTAATCTAGTATCAGACATGTAATAAGTGAGTTCATGTGTGGAAGTCAGAGAAATAGTAATATTGTATCTCATCTAGTACTAGACATGTAATAAGTGAGTTCATGTGTGGAAGTCAGAGAAATAGTAATATTGTATCTCATCTAGTACTAGACATGTAATAAGTGAGTTCATGTGCGGAAGTCAGAGAAATAGTAATATTGTATCTCATCTAGTAGTAATATTGTATCTAATCTAGTACTAACAGTAATAAGGGTTCATGTGTGGAAGTCAGACATGTAATAAGTGAGTTCATGTGTGGAAGTCAGAGAAATAGTAATATTGTATCTAATCTAGTACTAGACATGTAATAAGTGAGTTCATGTGTGGAAGTCAGAGAAATAGTAATATTGTATCTAATCTAGTACTAGACATGAAATAAGTGAGTTCATGTGTGGAAGTCAGAGAAATAGTAATATTGTATCTAATCTAGTACAAGACATGTAATAAGTGAGTTCATGTGTGGAAGTCAGAGAAATAGTAATATTGTATCTAATCTAGTACAAGACATGTAATAAGTGAGTTCATGTGTGGAAGTCAGAGAAATAGTAATATTGTATCTAATCTAGTACTAGACATGAAATAAGTGAGTTCATGTGTGGAAGTCAGTGAAATAGTAATATTGTATCTCATCTAGTACCAGACATGAAATAAGTGAGTTCATGTGTATTGGTTAGCACTAATGGAAGTAGGTGATAGACAGAGAACAGAGGCACACTAGACAACATCAGATAAGATATTGAGGAAACGTAAACTAGAGTGACTTTCCTCTGGAGTCCACAGGTCAAAATAAATACAGAAAAACCACTAATGCTTATTAAAGAGAGAAAGAGATAGAGAAATGAATAACCTGAGGTTATGAAAGTATCTGTATGAGAGTGGAAGGAAAGCAAAGGGTGTCATGAGGTAACTGTGGGTCTGTATACCATTGGAAGATCTTCCTCTTGTTCTTCTTTTGTTGACTATCTCTGCAGTAAATTGGGAGATAGCAGACAAGGACAGAGCAAAATGTTGAAAGGCTTCGAGTTTTGCTAAGGTCTTCTTGGTATTCACAGTTACTTATCTGATTTGTAGATTTTTCATGATGTCATTTGTGGTTCCATCGTCGATGAAAATGCCAAAACAGCAGAGTAAATTGGAGTATGAAGAAATGAAAAGGAGACTTTTAGAAACAGAACAGAAGCTAGAGAAGCTGAACAAACTGGATGAAGATCTTCAAAGTGTGGTGTCTGCCAAGTAAGTGTCTGCAGCTTCATCTGTTTACTAATCTTTGGTTTTGCTTTCTGTCTGTAGGATCTTTAGAATTTGACATCTACCAAGTGTTTATACCTTTAGTATGTCTTTACTAATCTTTGGTTTTGCTTTCTGTCTGTAAGATCTTTAGAATTTGACATCTACCAAGTGTTTATACCTTTAGCATGTCTTAACTAATCTTTAGTTTTGCTTTCTGTCTGTAAGATCTTCAAAGTGTGGTGTCTGCCAAGTAAGTGTCTGCAACTTCATATCTTAACTGACTTCTATTATTGCTTTCTGTCTGTAAGATCTTTAGAATTTGGCATCTACCAAGTGTTTATACCTTTAGCATGTCTTTACTAATCTTTAGTTTTGCTTTCTGTCTGTAAGATCTTCCAAATTTGGCTTTGCTTTCTGTCTGTAAGATCTTTAGAACTTGGCATCTACAAAGTGTTTACTCCTTTAGCATGTCTTTACTAATCTTTGGTTTTCTTTCTCTCTGTAAGATCTTCACTGTGAGGTGTCTTCCAATGAAAGTGTCTGCACCTTCAGCATGTCCTTACTGACCTTTGTTCTTGCTTTCTGTCTGCAGGTAATGTTACCTTTGTAACAAATATTGCATTTTTTAGTCATCTGAAACATTTGCTAGGGTCTACCTGATCCTTGAACTGGAGCTGAAGATCTTTCAGTTCGTTAATGCTTTTAGAGCATTCTGAGGATTTATTTGACCTCTTTGGCATGCAGAAATACTATATTAATATTTTCTTTTCTAATCTTGGTTATCTTTTGTTATCTTAATTGACGTCATTGCATATTAAGCTTTCCCATACATGCTGCATTTTCCAGTGCAGCAGCCACCCCAGAGTGCACCTTTAAGTGTATAGATAGCCCATGATCTTGTTTACTTATTCCTTTTTGACTTGGTCTTTTGAAATATCTAATAGTATCCTTTCTTCTACCTGTATGACGGTATGTTGTTTTATTCATTCTACCCTGAGATGTAGAGGTACTTTAGACCCTTGCTTAATCATTCATCTTGTAATGGAGGTGTAGGAATGGACTGTAGAGGTGCCTTATATTTGCTGAGTTTTCTTTCTGTAATTTTGGGTCTTACCATTTGTTGAGTTTTTTCCCTGATTTGAGAAACAGCAGCTACTGACAGAGCATCAACGTATACTGTGGTATAGACACAGTATCAATAGACAGCAGCTGCAGACACAACAGTGACAGACAACAGCGACAGAGATACCATCAACAGACCATAGTGCAGACACACCAACAGCGACAAACATACAGTGGCTGTCGACACATTAGCTGTGGACAAAATGATCACAGAAATAATAATACACTTCCAGCTGTTATTGAGACAATAAAAAAGTGTCACAGCAGTATGGCTTCAGATATGACAGTGACAATTCAACAGTCATAGTAACAACAGACCAACATCAGCAGTGGACACCAAGGTAACTGCTGAATCCATGGGAACTTTTTTACTTTGACATTAGCTGGAAAACAGGACAAAGATTTGTAATCACAGATGATGACATGGTTTGTATGTTTGCTTGTTCCTGCCAGCTCTGACAGAACATCATTAGTTAGTGAGCACATATCAGGCACATACAGCTGCCACAAGTCTCCTCAAGCAGACACACAGAGCCTTGCATCTGTCATCAGCACAGTACCTGACTCCTACACCCGCTTTGTTAGTCACCAGATCCCTAGCAGCACCCCTAGCAAGCACAAGGTACTCCTCATTGTTCATGTCTTGTGGTATGTCCTACACCCGCTTTGTTAGTCATCAGATCCCTAGCAAGCACAAGGTACTCCTCATTGTTCATGTCTTGTGTTATGTCCTACACCCGCTGTGTTAGTCACCAGATCCCAAGCAGCACCCCTAGCAAGCACAAGGTACTCCTCATTGTTCATGTCTTGTGTTATGTCCTACACCTGCTTTGTTAGTCACCAGATCCCAAGCAGCACCCCTAGCAAGCACAAGGTATTCCTCATTGTTCATGTCTTGTATTATGTGTGAATATTGTTATACAGAAGACCCGGCACCTCAGCTTTGGGGAAACCTTAGAGATCTGGACCATACATATGACTCATTGTTCATGTTTTCGGTTATTTGGGAATATTGCAATACAGAATCCCGCCTGTGCATTCTGAGGCCCCATTTTATGGGGAGAAGCTCCCTGCTGTCCTAACTAGCATATCATAAAAGTTTCTTTCAAGGTCGGAGTGCATCTACCAGAGAGGAACCAACAGTCTGCATATTAATAAGCCAGATATGAAAAATAGATGTATATGCAAAACAGTCAGTTAAGACTCAGTGGAAATGAAAAAGAAGAATAAAGAAATCATGACAACTCAGCTTTGCGGAAACCTAAGAGACCTTGAGTTGATGTCCTGGTCTGTGATCCATTGTGGATGTGTTATGTTACTTGTGAATGTTTGATGGAAGAAGATCTGGCAAATGTTGTGGAGCTGCAGGGGTCTGTTCTATTCTGGGTAAGAAATGAGGCTTCTCAGGGAAGTGCTGGGGGGTAGGGGTAGGAGGGGGACATCATGGAGGGGCTCAGCAGTAGTGTCAACACTGGCAGTTACACAAGACACTGTGTCTAGTAATTCAAGCAAACTAAAGTTCCTCGCACATGAGTACACAGGCTCGTCCAAGAAGCCACCCAAACACGGGGTCAGGAAGTGGATGAACAATCAGAACTGAAAAAGAAGAAGATAGTTTGTAACTTCTTTGTTCAAATTCTCAGTTCAGTCATTGATTTCAGGACCATTGTTGTCATCACATGTATTTAGTTGCTACCTCTCTGTAGCACAGTGGCTGGGCAACACATGTATAGACCATGTGTTGCTCAGGCAGTATTGTATAGAATATGTGTTGCTCAGGCAGTATTGTATAGAATATGTGTTGCTCAGGCAGTATTGTATAGAATATGTGTTGCTCAGGCAGTATTGTATAGACCATGCGTTGCTCAGGCAGTATTGTATAGAATATGTGTTGCTTAGGCAGTATTGTATAGACCATGTGTTGCTCAGGCAGTATTGTATAGACCATGTGTTGCTCAGGCAGTATTGTATAGAATATATGTTGCTCAGGCAGTATTGTATAGAATATGTGTTGCTCAGGCAGTATTGTATAGAATATGTGTTGCTCAGGCAGTATTGTATAGAATATGTGTTGCTCAGGCAGTATTGTATAGAATATGTGTTGCTCAGGCAGTATTGTATAGAATATGTGTTGCTCAGGCAGTATTGTATAGAATATGTGTTGCTCAGGCAGTATTGTATAGACCATGTGTTGCTCAGGCAGTATTGTATAGACCATGTGTTGCTCAGGCAGTATTGTATAAATATATGTTGCTCAGGCAGTATTGTATAGAATATGTGTTGCTCAGGCAGTATTGTATATAATATGTGTTGCTCAGGCAGTATTGTATAGACCATGTGTTGCTCAGGCAGTATTGTATAGAATATGTGTTGCTCAGGCAGTATTATATAGAATATGTGTTGCTCAGGCAGTATTGTATAGAATATGTGTTGCTCAGGCAGTATTGTATAGAATATGTGTTGCTCAGGCAGTATTGTATAAACCATGTGTTGCTCAGGCAGTATTGTATAGAATATGTGTTGCTCAGGCAGTATTGTAGAGACCATGCGTTGCTCAGGCAGTATTGTATAGACCATGTGTTGCTCAGGCAGTATTGTATAGAATATGTGTTGCTCAGGCAGTATTGTATAGACCATGTGTTGCCCAGGCAGTATTGTATAGAATATGTGTTGCTCAGGCAGTATTGTATAGAATATGTGTTGCTCAGGCAGTATTGTATAGAATATGTGTTGCTCAGGCAGTATTGTATAGACCATGCGTTGCTCAGGCAGTATTGTATAGAATATGTGTTGCTTAGGCAGTATTGTATAGACCATGTGTTGCTCAGGCAGTATTGTATAGACCATGTGTTGCTCAGGCAGTATTGTATAGAATATATGTTGCTCAGGCAGTATTGTATAGAATATGTGTTGCTCAGGCAGTATTGTATAGAATATGTGTTGCTCAGGCAGTATTGTATAGAATATGTGTTGCTCAGGCAGTATTGTATAGAATATGTGTTGCTCAGGCAGAATTGTATAGAATATGTGTTGCTCAGGCAGTATTGTATAGACCATGTGTTGCTCAGGCAGTATTGTATAGACCATGTGTTGCTCAGGCAGTATTGTATAGAATATATGTTGCTCAGGCAGTATTGTATAGAATATGTGTTGCTCAGGCAGTATTGTATATAATATGTGTTGCTCAGGCAGTATTGTATAGACCATGTGTTGCTCAGGCAGTATTGTATAAAATATGTGTTGCTCAGGCAGTATTATATAGAATATGTGTTGCTCAGGCAGTATTGTATAGAATATGTGTTGCTCAGGCAGTATTGTATAGAATATGTGTTGCTCAGGCAGTATTGTATAAACCATGTGTTGCTCAGGCAGTATTGTATAGAATATGTGTTGCTCAGGCAGTATTGTATAGAATATGTGTTGCTCAGGCAGTATTGTATAGAATATGTGTTGCTCAGGTAGTATTGTATAGACCATGTGTTGCTCAGGCAGTATTGTAGAGACCATGCGTTGCTCAGGCAGTATTGTATAGACCATGTGTTGCTCAGGCAGTATTGTATAGAATATGTGTTGCTCAGGCAGTATTGTATAGACCATGTGTTGCCCAGGCAGTATTGTATAGAATATGTGTTGCTCAGGCAGTATTGTATAGAATATGTGTTGCTCAGGCAGTATTGTATAGAATATGTGTTGCTCAGGCAGTATTGTATAGACCATGTGTTGCTCAGGCAGTATTGTATAGAATATGTGTTGCTCAGGCAGTATTGTATAGACCATGTGTTGCTCAGGCAGTATTGTATAGAATATGTGTTGCTCAGGCAGTATTGTATAGACCATGTGTTGCTCAGGCAGTATTGTATAGAATATGTGTTGCTCAGGCAGTATTGTATAGACCATGTGTTGCTCAGGCAGTATTGTATAGAATATGTGTTGCTCAGGCAGTATTGTATAGACCATGTGTTGCTCAGGCAGTATTGTATAGACCATGTGTTGCTCAGGCAGTATTGTAGAGACCATGCGTTGCTCAGGCAGTATTGTATAGAATATGTGTTGCTCAGGCAGTATTGAATAGAATATGTGTTGCTCAGGCAGTATTGTATAGACCATGTGTTGCCCAGGCAGTATTGTATAGAATATGTGTTGCTCAGGCAGTATTGTATAGAATATGTGTTGCTCAGGCAGTATTGTAGAGACCACGTGTTGCTCAAGCAGTATTGTATAGACCATATGTTGCTCAGGCAGTATTGTATAGAATATGTGTTGCTCAGGCAGTATTGTATAGAATATGTGTTGCTCAGGCAGTATTGTATAGACCATGTGTTGCTCAGGCAGTATTGTAGAGACCATGTGTTGCTCAGGCAGTATTGTAGAGACCATGTGTTGCCCAGGCAGTATTGTAGAGACCATGTGTTGCCCAGGCAGTATTGTAAAGACCATGTGTTGCTCAGGCAGTATTGTATAGACCATGTGTTGCTCAGGCAGCGTCATCCCTGGCTCAATCTGCCTTATTTACTCCAAAGGAATGGTAATACTACTACATTTGGAACAAAGCATGCTGCAGAAGCCATCAGATTAGAAAAGCAGTGCTCTATCTGTCCGCCTGTTATGAGGAGTTAAGAGTGCTAAGTCAGCACTTTGAAATGAGCAAACATCTCTGTCTGTCTGTGTGTGTGTGTGTGTGTACTCACCACTATGCCACTACCAATTGTGGAGGTGCAAGAAGAAAGCATAAGACAAGTTCAGTAAAAAAAGAGGAAGAATTAGAAGGATAAAGAAAACAGTAATAATCAGTGTTAACTCATTTGTTTGTTCGTAATGAAAATTTAAAAAAAAATCTTTGTCTGAAATTAGCGGCCCCCTGTGTCAGCAACAGCCACAGACAGCTATGATTCTGACAGTTCTACAAATTCAGCAAGAATTACTATCCCTGCCAACAAATATGAACGAAAATTGCTGTCACAGAACCAGAGACTACTAGCGGAAGTAGAGCGCCTTGTTGATGAACTGCACACTGTTAAACTACAGGTAATTGTTGAGACTAAAACACACTGTTGCTTGTTTGTGCCTCTATGTGGCCATGGTGGAAGTGTTGTGGGTCACCTCTAGGCTACCTAGCCGATGGATTAACAATCTGTAAAGTGTAGTCAAATCTAAAGACGGGTCTATGTGAACAAAACATTATAATTCTAGAGTTTAATATTTTATTTAGGTCTGTTTAAAGCTGCCGTGACAGTCTGTATCAAGTGTCCTGTGCATCGCCTTGCCAATCAGAGCTGCTACCTAAATAAGTCAACTGATCTCCCGCTGCTGTCTCTAAGGTGCAATCCTTGTTGAGCCAGATAGTAGGCATGTCTGGCCACTGACTTCTGAACAATGATTGTCATCAGCAGCTTTAACACATGCACTCTGTGCTCAGTACAGCACTAGGCTAGTTAGTTTGTCACATCCCCCTCTGTGCATCAGACAGCACCAGGCTAGTTAGTTTGTCAGATCCCCCTCTGTGCGCCACACAGCACTAGGCTAGTTAGTTTGTCAGATCCCCCTCTGTGCGCCACACAGCACCAGGCTAGTTAGTTTGTCAGATCCCCCTCTGTGCGCCACACAGCACTAGGCTAGTTAGTTTGTCAGATCCCCCTCTGTGCGCCACACAGCACCAGGCTAGTTAGTTTGTCAGATCCCCCTCTGTGCGCCACACAGCACCAGGCTAGTTAGTTTGTCAGATCCCCCTCTGTGCATCAGACAGCACCAGGCTAGTTAGTTTGTCAGATCCCCCATGTGCACCACACAGCACCAGGCTAGTTAGTTTGTCACATCCCCCTCTGTGCGCCACACAGCACCAGGCTAGTTAGTTTGTCACATCCCCCTCTGTGCGCCACACAGCACCAGGCTAGTTAGTTTGTCAGATCCCCCTCTGTGCATCAGACAGCACCAGGCTAGTTAGTTTGTCAGATCCCCCATGTGCATCAGACAGCACCAGGCTAGTTAGTTTGTCAGATCCCCCTCTGTGCGCCACACAGCACCAGGCTAGTTAGTTTGTCACATCCCCCTCTGTGCACCACACAGCACCAGGCTAGTTAGTTTGTCAGATCCCCCTCTGTGCGCCACACAGCACTAGGCTAGTTAGTTTGTCAGATCCCCCTCTGTGCACCACACAGCACTAGGCTAGTTAGTTTGTCAGATCCCCCTCTGTGCACCACGCAGCACTAGGCTAGTTAGTTTGTCAGATCCCCCTCTGTGCGCCACACAGCACCAGGCTAGTTAGTTTGTCAGATCCCCCTCTGTGCGCCACACAGCACCAGGCTAGTTAGTTTGTCACATCCCCCTCTGTGCGCCACACAGCACCAGGCTAGTTAGTTTGTCAGACCCCCTTCTGTGCATCACACAGCACTAGGCTAGTTAGTTTGTCAGATCCCCCTCTGTGTTCCAAGGCCCCATTTTGGCTGGGGAAAAAAATAATAGACCCACTGCCCTCTAGCAAGCATGTCTTAGGAGGCCACTAATTATAGATGTTTCCTTCAGTTTGAGAGTGCATCTGCCTGAGAGGCAAGGAATCAACAGTTTGCATATAATTAAGCTAGATCTGTTAAGTGGATTTGCATGCAAAATTCAAGTTCCGGATTGAAAGTAAATTTCCTCTTCTTCTTCTTCACCAGCAGTAACTCTGGCAGAAAGTTATGATTATTTGTTTTATTTTGGGTCCGCTTCTGTATTTTTGTCTTTGTTCCAAAATTAGGTTTTTCATGCACATCAGTTTTACAGATCTAGCCTATTGTTTGCAGACTGTTGGTTCCTTTGCTCGGAGGCAGATGTACTCTTACTTCAAAAGAAATCCCTAATTGGTTTACTCTAAAACTTGCTTGTTAAAAATAAAAATGCAGGGGGTATACCCCCCCCCCCCCCCCTTTAACAGCCAGTGAATGCTAAGAAGAAGAGAAGAGAGTTTGCCAGAATGGCTTTCTATTATGTTGCAGATATTAACAAATGAACTTATCATGTACAGTACATCTAATATAATTTATGTGGTTGAAAGGGCCCCAAGTAAGATGAGCCAGCATGTCCAGCTTGTAGCTCACTGAAAAAGATAATTTGGTCCTCTTTATTAAGATATTGGGGTAGTTTTTCTATCTGTTCTGTTTGTGTGGACATTATTTTACATGATACCACAGTTGAGACCACTAAGGTCTGTCACTGGAAGCTAGTGACTCATCAGTATAGCTGGTTGTTAACTGTGCAGTCACACATACACTAGGACATAGTTTGTATATGCCTGTAACTACTGACATTTGTGTGGTATTCAGGTGGCTTCCTTTAAAAAGTATGAAGCTGATGTCAGGAGACTTCCTGACTTAGAGGACAGAATTGAAGGTCTACAGGCAGAGAATCAAGCTCAGGACAAAGCTCTTAGGTTTGTATCTGGTTGGCTTTTTGTGTTCAATAAATTTTTATTGCAACATTTATTTAGCATTGCATGCAAACTCAGCTTTCACAGACACTATCAGTGTACAAACTCAGCTTCCATAGACCACATCAGTGTACAAACTTAGCTTCATAGACCCCATCACTGTACAAACTCAGCTTCATAGACCCTGTCAGTGTACAAACTCAGCTTTCCTAGACCCCATCAGTGTACAAACTCAGCTTTCCTAGACCCCATCAGTGTACACACTCAGCTTTAATAGGTATCATCACTGTACAAACTCAGCTTTCCTAGACCCCATCAGTGTACAAACTCAGCTTTCCTAGACCCCATCAGTGTACAAACTCAGCTTTTATAGACCCCATCAGTGTACAAACGCAGCTTTAATAGGTATCATCACTGTACAAACTCAGCTTTCATAGACCCCATCAGTGTACAAAATCAGCTTTCCTAGACCCCATCAGTGTACAAACAGCTTTCATAGACCCCATCAGTGTACAAACTCAGCTTTCATAGACCCCATCAGTGTACTAACTCAGCTTTCATAGACCCCATCAGTGTACAAACTCAGCTTTCCTAGACCCCATCAGTGTACAAACTCAGCTTTCATAGACCCCATCAGTGTACACACTCAGCTATAATAGGTATCATCACTGTACAAACTCAGCTTTTATAGACCCCATCAGTGTACAAACTCAGCTTTCATTGACCCCAACAGTGTACAAACTCAGCTTTCATATACCCCATCAGTGTACAAACTCAGCTTTAATAGGTATCATCACTTTTTAAACTTAGCTTTCAAAGACTTATTATTGTACAAACTCAGCTTTCATAGACTCCATTATTGTACAAACTCAGCTTTCATAGACCCCCATCACTGTAAAACTCAGCTTTCATAGACCACATCAGTGTACAAACTCAGCTTTCACAGACCCAATTATTGTACAAACTCAGCTTTTATTGACACCAGTATTTTACAGTGATAGGTGTTATTTCTTTCCTTTTTAAAATTAGGGAAGCAGAAGAGCACATTGAAGAGGGTGCCAGAAGAAATGCAGAACTACAGAAAAAGCTGGAGAAATATGAAGGAGATATAGCTGACTTACAAATGGAGTTAGATGCAGCAAAATCTGCCAAGAAGGAGTAAGTTTGTATGTGCCTGAGGATGTGTGTTTAAATGTCTTCCTCTGCTTCTTGTGTTCTTTGTCATATTGATTTTGGGTTTAGAAATAGCCTTGATGTTGATTAAAGGTAATCTCTATACATACAGTTTCTTGACAGCCAAGGCAGTCTCCATACAGTTTATCTTCAGTCGCGGCAATCTCCATAGTTTATTTGTAACTGAGCCAATCTCCAAAGTTTATCTACAACCGTGGCAGTCTTGTACGGTCAGTCTAGCCCTGTAGTCAGTGAGTCTAGCCCTGTAGTCAGTCAGTCTAGCCCTGTAGTCAGTCAGTATAGCCCTGTACAGTCAGTCAGTCTAGCCCTGTACAGTGAGTCTAGCCCTGTAGTCAGTGAGTCTAGCCCTGTACAGTCAGTCAGTCTAGCCCTGTACAGTCAGTCAGTCTAGCCCTGTAGTCAGTGAGTCTAGCCCTGTAGTCAGTGAGTCTAGCCCTGTAGTCAGTGAGTCTAGCCCTGTAGTCAGTGAGTCTAGCCCTGTAGTCAGTGAGTCTAGCCCTGTAGTCAGTCAGTCTAGCCCTGTACAGTGAGTCTAGCCCTGTAGTCAGTGAGTCTAGCCCTGTAGTCAGTCAGTCTAGCCCTGTACAGTCAGTCTAGCCCTGTACAGTCAGTCTAGCCCTGTACAGTTAGTCTAGCCCTGTAGTCAGTCAGTCTAGCCCTGTAGTCAGTCAGTCTAGCCCTGTAGTCAGTCAGTCTAGCCCTGTAGTCAGTCAGTCTAGCCCTGTAGTCAGTCAGTCTAGCCCTGTAGTCAGTCAGTCTAGCCCTGTAGTCAGTCAGTCTAGCCCTGTAGTCAGTCAGTCTAGCCCTGTACAGTCAGTCTAGCCCTGTACAGTCAGTCTAGCCCTGTAGTCAGTCAGTCTAGCCCTGTACAGTTAGTCTAGCCCTGTAGTCAGTCAGTCTAGCCCTGTACAGTCAGTCAGTCTAGCCCTCTAGTCAGTCAGTCTAGCCCTGTAGTCAGTGAGTGTAGCCCTGTAGTCAGTGAGTCTAGCCCTGTACAGCCCTGTACAGTCAGTCAGTCTAGCCCTGTAGTCAGTGAGTCTAGCCCTGTAGTCAGTCAGTCTAGCCCTGTAGTCAGTCAGTCTAGCCCTGTAGTCAGTGAGTCTAGCCCTGTAGTCAGTGAGTCTAGCCCTGTAGTCAGTGAGTCTAGCCCTGTAGTCAGTCAGTCTAGCCCTGTAGTCAGTCAGTCTAGCCCTGTAGTCAGTCAGTCTAGTCCTGTAGTCAGTGAGTCTAGCCCTGTAGTCAGTTAGTCTAGCCCTGTAGTCAGTTAGTCTAGCCCTGTAGTCAGTCAGTCTAGCCCTGAAGTCAGTCAGTCTAGCTCTGTACAGTGAGTCTAGCCCTGTAGTCAGTCAGTCTAGCCCTGAAGTCAGTCAGTCTAGCCCTGTAGTCAGTGAGTCTAGCCCTGTAGTCAGTGAGTCTAGCCCTGTAGTCAGTGAGTCTAGCCCTGTAGTCAGTGAGTCTAGCCCTGTAGTCAGTGAGTCTAGCCCTGTAGTCAGTGAGTCTAGCCCTGTAGTCAGTCAGTCTAGCCCTGTAGTCAGTCAGTCTAGCCCTGTAGTCAGTCAGTCTAGTCCTGTAGTCAGTGAGTCTAGCCCTGTAGTCAGTTAGTCTAGCCCTGTAGTCAGTTAGTCTAGCCCTGTAGTCAGTCAGTCTAGCCCTGAAGTCAGTCAGTCTAGCTCTGTACAGTGAGTCTAGCCCTGTAGTCAGTCAGTCTAGCTCTGTACAGTGAGTCTAGCCCTGTAGTCAGTCAGTCTAGCCCTGTAGTCAGTCAGTCTAGCCCTGTACAGTGAGTCTAGCCCTGTAGTCAGTCAGTCTAGCCCTGAAGTCAGTCAGTCTAGCTCTGTACAGTCAGTCTAGCCCTGAAGTCAGTCAGTCTAGCTCTGTACAGTCAGTCTAGCCCTGTAGTCAGTCAGTCTAGCCCTGAAGTCAGTCAGTCTAGCCCTGTAGTCAGTCAGTCTAGCCCTGTAGTCAGTCAGTCTAGCCCTGTAGTCAGTCAGTCTAGCCCTGTAGTCAGTCAGTCTAGCTCTGTAGTCAGTCAGTCTAGCCCTGTACAGTGAGTCTAGCCCTGTAGTCAGTCAGTCTAGCCCTGAAGTCAGTCAGTCTAGCTCTGTACAGTCAGTCTAGCCCTGTAGTCAGTCAGTCTAGCTCTGTACAGTGAGTCTAGCCCTGTAGTCAGTCAGTCTAGCCCTGTAGTCAGTCAGTCTAGCCCTGTACAGTGAGTCTAGCCCTGTAGTCAGTCAGTCTAACCCTGTAGTCAGTCAGTCTAGCTCTGTACAGTGAGTCTAGCCCTGTAGTCAGTCAGGTTCTCCCTGTAGTCAGTGAGTCTAGCCCTGTACAGTGGGTCTAGCCCTGTAGTCAGTGAGTCTAGGCTTGTACAGTGAGTCTAGCCCTGTACAGTGAGTCTAGCCCTGTACAGTGAGTCTAGCCCTTTACAGTGAGTCTAGCCCTGTAGACAGTGAGTCTAGCCCTGTACAGTGAGTCTAGCCCTGTACAGTGAGTCTAGCCCTGTACAGTGAGTCTAGCCTTGTAGTCAGTGAGTCTAGCCTTGTACAGTGAGTCTAGCCCTGTACAGTGGGTCTAGCCCTGTAGTCAGTGAGTCTAGCCCTGTACAGTGAGTCTAGCCCTGTACAGTGAGTCTAGCCCTGTACAGTGAGTCTAGCCCTGTACAGTGGGTCTAGCCTTGTAGTCAGTGAGTCTAGCCCTGTACAGTGAGTCTAGCCCTGTACAGTGAGTCTAGCCCTGTACAGTGAGTCTAGCCCTGTACAGTGAGTCTAGCCCTGTAGTCAGTGAGTCTAGCCCTGTACAGTGAGTCTAGCCCTGTACAGTGAGTCTAGCCCTGTACAGTGAGTCTAGCCCTGTACAGTGAGTCTAGCCCTGTACAGTGAGACTAGCCCTGTAGTCAGTGAGTCTAGCCCTGTACAGTGAGTCTAGCCCTGTACAGTGAGACTAGCCCTGTAGTCAGTGAGTCTAGCCCTGTACAGTGAGTCTAGCCCTGTACAGTGAGTCTAGCCCTGTAGTCAATCAGTCTAGCCCTGTACAGTCAGTCTAGCCCTGTACAGTGAGTCTAGCCCTGTAGTCAATCAGTCTAGCCCTGTAGTCAATCAGTCTAGCCCTGTAGTCAATCAGTCTAGCCCTGTACAGTCAGTCTAGCCCTGTACAGTGAGTCTAGCTCTGTACAGTGCACTTCAGACATAGGCTCACAAATCTACTCTACATATAATGACATAAAAGTGCACTTCAGACATAGGCTCACAAATCTACTCTACATATGATGACATAAAAGTGCACTTCAGACATAGGCTCACAAATCTACTCTACATATGATGACATAAAAGTGCACTTCAGACATAGGCTCACAAATCTACTCTACATATGATGACATAAAAGTGCACTTCAGACATAGGCTCACAAATCTACTCTACATATGATGACATAAAAGTGCACTTCAGACATAGGCTCACAAATCTACTCTACATATGATGACATAAAAGTGCACTTCAGACATAGGCTCACAAATCTACTCTACATATGATGACATAAAAGTGCACTTCAGACATAGGCTCACAAATCTACTCTACATATGATGACATAAAAGTGCACTTCAGACATAGGCTCACAAATCTACTCTACATATGATGACATAAAAGTGCACTTCAGACATAGGCTCACAAATCTACTCTACATATGATGACATAAAAGTGCACTTCAGACATAGGCTCACAAATCTACTCTACATATGATGACATAAAAGTGCTTGACATTCATACTCTTTTCTCTGTTCATAATCTTGTTCTCACCATTGGTGTTGTCTGTTGTTGCCTTCTCAGACAGCAGCAGTACACAACTTGACTGTCCATCTCAGCCTATCAGTCCTTGATTGGCACTGATACACCAGCCAGACCTTGCCTTCATCCTAGCTCGGCTAGCTGGCCCTGACCCAGACATTCTGCACTGTACAGCAAATCTTGCCTAGAGGTAGACCAGTAACAATATAGACAGATAACATCAGAGACACTCTACAACAGCACAATATGTCTATGGTCGAGGCAGCCAGAAGAGCACGAAACAGAGCCTTATATCTCCCTCGATACCCACAGCACTAAATGAGGAATTGATGAAGAAGAACAATTCTTGCCTAGGACAAAGACAGACCCATGAAGCATTCAGTGACCAGTGAAAGTTTGCTCAATTACATAGTACTGATGCAGTTCCATGAATGTGTAGTGCATGATGGTGTCTGAAAACATTCTCTCTAGCGTACCTCAAAGCCATGGCAATGATCATTATTTACAGCGAGATCTGTAAAACAGCTGTACACGCAAAACTCAGGTTCTGTATCAAGACAAAGTCCAAAAGTGGACTAACAACCAGAACTTTCCGCCAGAGTTTACAGACGGTAAGCACGAAGAAGAAAGAAGAAGAAGAAAAACAGACGCTAATGAGAATTACCTGTGATCCATTTTGAAGGCTTGGTCAGTTCCTGGATCCATGTTGGTGGGTTCCTGGATCCATGTTGGTGGGTTCCTGGATCCATGTTGGTGGGTTCCTGGATCCATGTTGGTGGGCACACAGAATTGTCACTTGTGGAGGTCTTGGGCTCTTGGCAGAAGCGTGTGAGGAAGAAGAGAAAGAATAAAATGAGGAAGAGGAGAAAAAATAAAATGAAGAAGAAGTGGAAGAATCCTAGAGGTTAAATCTAACCATAAAAAGAAATCTAAAGCTACAGACAGCACTTGAGACCTGGCAAGGCTAACCTGGACAACAAATGTCTGCAGAAGTCAGATGTATTGTCGAAAGGCGCAAATATCACAGCGATGAACGCAGAACAAGAAGCACCTGTGGACCTCCACATCATTTGCCTCATCAGCACTCTACAAATCTCAGGAGCACCCACTCACTGTCTTTGCCCAGTGAATATTTGCAGAATTAGGACCTGGGATGTGAATTATGTCTGACTGGGAAAGAGGGCA